CTAGCAATCCAACAGGCATTGGAACTCTATAGGGTCCGAGTCCTCAAGCAGAAGGCCACTCACCTTGATGGAGGCAGATGATCCGAAGCTGAAGGCGCTCGCTGCCGTCTTGTAGCCCAGCTCCACGGTCTTGCGTGCTCGCGGTGGAGTCTCGCCGAGTGCTCGAATCGCCGTCTGCCCGTCTCAGTGGCTTGGCCTCTCTGCTCCGTCCTGCTGGCTGCTGCTTGCTGCGTTGCGGTGAATGAACTGGCCGCTGGCACGGGCGCGCGGGCGGCCGGGCGGCGTGGGCGCGGCGCGGGGGCGGGGGCGGGGCGGCGTGGGCGCGGTGGCTGGCTGCGGCTGTCTGCTTGACTGCCCGGACGGCCGAAAGCGTTTAAGTCCCAACCACTCCTTCGCCGAGTGCCAGATGAGGCAGGCATTCGGCAAAGATTTAATTTTTTTTAAAAAAAAATTCTTTGCCGAGTGTCCCAGATCTGGCACTCGGCAAAGATTTAATTTTTTTTTTTGGAATTTCTTTGTCGAGTGTCCCAGATCTAGCACTCGGCAAAGTTGTTTTTTTTAAAATCTTTGCCGAGTGTCAGATCTGGGACACTCGGCAAAGAAATTCCAAAAAAAAAATTAAATCTTTGCCAAGTGCTAGATCCGAGACACTCGGCAAAGAATTTTTTTTAAAAAAATTAAATTTTTGCCGAGTGCCAGATCTGGGACACTCGGCAAAGAAATTCAAAAAAAAAATTAAATCTTTGCCGAGTGCTTCAGCTATGGGAAGTTTGCAATATGCTCAAGTATGTATGCGCCCTGACTTGGCATTTGTTACCGTGTTACTTGGCAGATTCCAGAGCAATCCTGGAACAGAACACTAAAATTAGTAAAGAAAGTCTTGCGTTATTTACAAGGAACGAAAAGCCTCATGATGACGTATAGAAGATCAGATTCACTCCATATAGTGGGATATTCAGATTCTGATTATGCGGGAGATGATAGAAAATCCACGTCTGAATATGTATTCACTCTCGCAGGGAGAGCTATTTCATGGAAAAGCTCAAAGCAAACCGTCACTACATCGTCCACAATATATGCCGAATTTGTAGCGTGTTATGAGGCAACGGGGCAGGTGAACTGGCTAAAGAAGTTCATACCCGGTTTGAAGGTGGTTGACGACATCTATAGACCACTTAAGTTATACTGCGATAATAATCCGGTAGTACAATATGCTCACAACAATAAGTCAAGTGGTGTTGCCAAACACATTGATATAAAGTATTATGTTGTGAAAGATAAAGTTCAGGATCATGTCATAAGTCTTGAGCATATAAGTACCGAAAAGATGCTCGCGGATCCGCTTAGAAAAGGCTTACCACCCAACGTGTTCAGAGAACATGTAGCCGGCATGGGTTTAAGAGAAAGCCTATAATTTCCGGACAAAAGAAGACCCAAAGTTAAGTATCTATTTCAGAATAAAGTGGTGTGTTGTAGTTGTTAAATCTATCGGCAATTGACCGTGACGATGAAACATGCTCTATGTGCTAATCTGTAATAGAATGAACAAAAGTAAATGATATGAAATTGAAAGATGGTGTGAGCTCAAGGGGGAGAATGTTAGTTTGATCTCCACCAATTGGCCCAGCCAATTAGACCCTTGGATCAACGCCCTGATCGGGGGCGTCCAACCACTCCATGGTTGGTGGGCCCCCGTCGCACAACACTATAAAGAGAGGTGGAGATTATGGCTCTAACTATGAGGTTGACCTGAGCCGCCGTGACCCACCAACAGCAAAACCTAACCCGATCTAAAGAGGGTGCTGCCAGCGATGGGAAGACCTACTGACTTCGCCGTCACCACCGGACCGCGGCACCTCGCGTCACCGTCGCCTTTGCATCGCCACCACTACGATGGACTCCACTGCGCCAAGCTCCCACGACACCGGCGTCCACACGGCTATGGGGCAACTGCGCCAGGGCGAAGTAGAGGAATCAGTTTCTCCATCTAAGTAAGATCTGATCTACGTTTCAGAGGTACTGTGTTCCCAACAACTTGATGTATTACATAAAAGATGGGCATTTCTAAGAATACCTAGGAATCACTATAGCTTTGCCCCTGGTTTTATCCATAGCCAGAAGTTGTACGAGAGGCTTTACGGAGTGATGGACCTAGCTCTAAACGAATTGCAAAGTCCATGGCCAAAGACAAATGCACAACCCGTCTGAGCAGGGTTGTGCCTAGGGCAGTGCAGGCGGTGCGACAGAACAGGGCCCCAATTTCCAAGGACCCATATATAATTTCGAGACTTCAGCCAATAGGACCAGCTAGTCTGTGGGCCAAATCTTCTTTCTTTGCCAAATCACTAAATATCTGCCATCCGCAGTTGCGCGTGATCTCTTTGTATTTGCTTCATTGTAACTAGAACTCATTATCACTAATACGTGATTTGTACGCACTTGTAAATGCATCTGATTTTGGATGTGCAATCAACTTCATAGATCACCCAAGATCTGTATAGATAGATCCTAAGGCCCCCTTTGGCAGCGCTCCCGCGACTTCGCTCCCCACGAGAATCAGCAAAGCGCTTCGAAAGGGCTTGGTTCCGCAATGCTCAGCGTGGGAAGCGCTCCCGCCACTCCGCCCAACTTGCACTGTAGGTGGGGAGCAGAAAAAACCCGCTCTTGCTCTATTTCGATCCGTTGTCTCTCTCGCGTCCCTCCGTCGTGCTCGTCTCCACGTACCTCTCCGCCGGGCAGGTCCTCTTCATCACGAAGCTCGCCGAGATCCAGCATACGGCCATCGATTTTTCCGAGATCCATCCCACCACCGTCGACTTCGTCAAAATCCAGCACGACATCGTCGACCTTGCCGAGGCCGCTGGACTTGCGGAGCTCGAGGCCGCCGACCTTGCCTTCTCCTTGCGCCGCCACAACTTGCCCTCCCCTGCTGGGATGCGGGTTGGGAGCAGGAGCCGTCGAGGGAGCTCCACCAAACAACACCGGGAGTAGTGGAGAGCTGGAGGGAACTGAAGCAGTGGGGAGCGGCCGTGGGAGCAGGCTAAGAGCATTGTCAAATGGGGCCTAAATTTATCTACTAAACTTTTAATACTTATGCAACATAAGATTGTTGACCATGCTTAGGGATGGAAAATGGGTCGGGTATGCTGCAGGTGGAGTAAACACACCCACAACAGCACTTGCAACATATTGTCAGACCTAGGGTTCAAATTTTCAGTGAAATTCCAGCCATAATTTGTGAATTTGGTTGTTTTCAAAGGCGACCAAAACTATGGATTTCAGATAGAAATACCGAATAGGATTTGTGTTAATCAAAATTCATAAGTTAGCATCTAATCTAGTGGAAAGCTTCCACCGCCTTGCAGGAGGTGTAAGGATCAAATCTCAAACAATTCTGTTTTTTTTAATTTGAGCACCATAAAATTAATTTATTTAATTTTCTTTGATCAAAATTGATTTAATTTCCTTTGAAATTTAGCACTGGTCACACCCGCCATTGCAACACCTCACAGTTGCAATTTGGTACATGCGTCCTTGTCCATGGGTCGCTCATGAGTTTGGGGCACCCGTCAAGTGTGTTCATCTCACAATTAATATATCGTCATGATTAATCAATAAGTAATAAAAATAAAAAAAGACAAAAATTCCTGTATCTATATCACACATCTAGTCATCTACCACATATCACTCATTTATATTTGAAATGGACTAAAATTTAAGACCTAAATGGCAAACATGCATGTCGTTACATCTAGACATGGATACTTGGTTACGTAGCATGTTCCTTATATTTCGGGCCCCGATAGATACTCACGGGTGTGATTTAGCATCCGCACATAACCCTCATTCATTTCGGGTTCCGACTCGATGAAACTTGCGGGTGTGACTTGGCTTGCGTACCAGCACCTGCGGATTGAATTACCATACTTTACCATGTTTGGAGCATGGATCGATGGGCTAGTTTGTGTCGAATTTTTTGAAACATCTAGTAATCCCCTCCAAACTTTTTTCACTCTGGTAACTCCTACTCTTCTGCTACTACTGCTAGAATAGAAGAATACAGATGCGGGAATCCATCCTGTTGTGACTTGTGAGTTGTTTTTTTGACTTGTGAGTTGTGATTACATTGCCATATCTTGCTAGGATGTTGTGGCTGTTCTCGGCTAGCGGCGCCGTGGGGGTCGCCGGAGTGATCATGCCGGCGGAGGCCCTTCCAGCCTGAGGTAGTCGTACATGACCCCCAAGAAGGGCCCGAACGCCATCGTCTGCGTGATGCTGATGCTGTTCTCGCCTTGCCGCAGCAGGTAGCCCCTGATGGGGAACTCGAAGCTCCACTGCACGCCGCCGTGGATGCCGTGCCGCGCGATGGCGTTGCTGTTGCCGAACTCCGGCGTGCTGAACACGGCTTCTAGCCACTCTGCCGTTCACGCGCACCTTATTTCAAAGACGAGAGCACATTGTATCAGCAGATATGCATGTTTGGCTGATTAGGTTACATGTAACATGCAGGTGTAACGTGAGTCTGGACATTTAAGCAGCTGCAAGAGCAATGCGCAGGGTGTAGGTGCCGTTTGCCACGCGTATCTGACGTGTCGTTGGTGTACTGACGTTGCCATCCATCCTGCAAACAGAAAGATGCATGTTTGCATATATATAGATGCAGTTTTACCGTAAGGGTTGTTGTTCATATATAATAGGAGGATTAGTGGATTACCTTGTGACGTGTGCGAAGATCCAGTCCTTTGAGTAGTCGCTCTGACCAACCGTGAAAACGAGGTCATTTCCAGCAGGGTGCAGCTCGGCGTACCTCTCCCACAGGCCGTACTGCCTGTACCCGTCTTTCCCCACGAAGAGCTTGCTGGCGTATCTGGGGTCGGCGTCGGGGACGAAGAACTCCGCCGCCGTCCGATCCGGGACGCCCATCTCCCACAGCGTCGGGCCCGACCTCGGGGGCACGAACACGAGGCTACCAAGGTCAACGGCGCCACCTGGCGTCACGGTCACCGTGGAGGTGTGCACGTAGTCTCCGAGCTGAGGAACCCGGGAACCCACGCGTCGAGGCTGTAGGTTCCAGCCCGGACGCCGCCGATGCTGAACCGGCCGCTGGCCGTCGCCCTCGTCCAGAACTGGTAACCCTGCAGGTGTAGGCCAAAGCAAAAGCATCATAGCATGCATCGATCAGAACGTCTGATATGTGTGTAACAAACTTGCAGGCACGGTCACCGCACCTTGCACTGTGTCGCCCAGGAGCCAGGCTGCCCGCCGGGCGCGGCGAGCCCGACGAACGCCGTTGCAGCAGGCACGTCACCGCCCTTGCTCGCGAACGCGTCCCTGACCAGGAGAGTGCCGGTAACCGTGCCCCTGTCGCCCGCCTTGGCGAAGCCCGGCGACTCCGGAAAGCTGTACGGCCACTTGCCGGCTTCCGCTCGCGCCTGCGCCTTGGCGTCGTCCCAGAAAGCTCGGATGTCGCTGCCATTGTTGGGGCTGGAGTTGAGGTAGATGAACACCGGGCCCATCACCTTCTTCCAGTACTCGCCGTCGCCCAGGTTCAGCATTATGTCGATCCCAGTGTAATGCGTCCCTAGAAACACCTGACAATGCATATACTAACAATTATCAAAACATAGTATTGTACAAAAATACATAACCTTCTAAACTTTTTCTTAATTATTAGTGACCTAGAAAAACATAGTATTGCTTGCTGGAGCCAGTGTTGGATAGCGGCTACCGCTAGCTGCAGTGTGTTGGCTACTGGCCACCTTGGGGCTTATGGGAGTCACCAAGTGGGGGCCTAGGGCTGGGGGAGCCATTGATCTGAACGCTGATCGCATCCAGAGACATATCTTATATCTATGCGGTTAGGGGTGGTGGATAGGTGGTCACGGAGCATATTCACATTCACATGGTGGGGCCGTGGCCCGTGGGTGCTGCTGCTGGACTGGGGCTGAGGAGGAGGTGAGCAAGGCCAAGCAAAAGCATCATAGCGGGATATGTTGAGCGGCGCCACCACGAAGATGAAACCTCCGCCTCCGTTAGGGTGCTGCGGGGTGGGGTCATCCTTGCAAGGCTAGTCCCAATGTTAATTGCTGGGGGCTCACCCTAGGCTAGCAGGGCAGAGATCCGCCCCTGGTCGCTGTCATAGAGTACTATTGAATATTTATAATGGAAGAAATAAAGTATAGAATGTTGGGCCCGAAATCACACGCACGGGGTGAGCAGACTGCTCACCGGCGTTCTCGCACACACACCACGGCTGAAGGTAGAAGAGAGATGAAGAACAGAGCACACACACAACAGAGACACCAGCGTTGGCCGAAACTCAGCGGAGGAGAATGCAAAACTAAACTCTCTGTTTACTTAGTTGCAGTGAAAACAATATATACAACTCTACCATATAGTCCTACTACACAGACATGTCTGTCCGCCATGTTGCTACAGTGACTAGAAGTGATAGCAGGGATGACTTTGACGTCTGCTCCTACTGTGGCTACAGTGTGGCAGGAGAGCCTTTCGGCGTCTGCTCCTGCCACGGCTACAGTGCAGCAGCAGGGGAGCCCTTTCGGCGCCCGCCCCTGCCGTGCGTACAGAGGGAGCAGGTTATTTTACAATTCTTCTCCTAATACTGCTGCTAACCCGAGAACCTACACCATGCCGATCATTTTCTTCAGCTCCGAGAACCGAAGACGGTCGAGCGGCTTGGTGAAGACGTCCGCGAGTTGCCGACCAGTTTCGACGAACTCGATGACGATCTGCCCTCCATCGACACAGTCCCTGAGGAAGTGGAACTTGACATCGTTGTGCTTGCTCCGGTCGTGGAGAACCGGATTCTTTGCGAGGACGATGGTGGGCTGGTTGTCCACTATCAGCGCTGGTGGGTGAGCTTGTCGGCCGGTCAGCTCGCCCAGCAACCAGCGCAGCCACACAGCTTGACACGCCATTGTGGTCGCTGCCACGTACTCCGCCTCGCACATGGACAACGCTACCACCTTCTACTTTAGCGACAGCCATGAGATTGGGGCCGGCACGAGGAAGACGAGCACGCCGGAGGTGCTCCGTCGTCCGTCGATGTCCCCTGCCATGTTTGCATCGCTGAAGACAGTGAGCCGCAGCCCACTTTCGCTGGTCTTGGGGAAGACAATCACCTGATCCACCGTCCCCTTCACGTAGCGCAGCAGCCGCTTCACCGCGGCCCAGTGATCCTCTCGGGGATCCTCCATGAAGCGGCTGACGTAGCCCATGGCAAACGCAATGTCCGGCCTCGTGTGGACTAGGTAGCGCGGACCGCCGATGATGCTCCGGTAGAGTGTTGCATCCACCTTTGCCGTGGTACTGGCCTTTGTCAACTTCAGCAGCTCCTTCCTCGGAGTCGCTCACGGCTTGCACTCAGCCATGCGGCTCCGCTCTAATAGCTTCGAGGCGTACACACTCTGACTGAGCGTGAGCGCCTCCTTCCCCTACTTCACCTTGATGCCGAGGTAGTAGGAGAGCACGCCGAGATCGCTCATTCGAAAACGAGCCGCCATCTCGCACTTGAAGCTATCGATGTCCTCCGCACGCGCGCCGGTGACGATCAAGTCATCCACATACACGCCGACGACGAGCTCCTCCTTCCTCCATCGCCACGTGTAGAGCACGTGATTGGTTGCGCATTGCGTGAACCCAAGCTCGCCCAGCATGGCGTCAAGCTTGGCGTTCCATGCTCTCAGGGACTGTCGCAGCCCGTAGATTGCTTTGCACAGTCGGAGCACCTTGTGCTCTGCTCCCTTGACGGCGAAATCCAGAGGTTGCATGACGTAGACCGTCTCTGCCAACTCGCCATTGAGGAAGGCCGATTTGATGTCCAGGTGAAGAACGCGCCAGTCCTTCGCCGCTGCTGGAGCCAGTAGCAGTCAAACGGACTCCATGCACGCTACCAGCGCAAAGACTTCCTCGAAGTCAATGCCCTCGCGCTGGACAAAGCCACGGGCGACGAGACGTGCCTTGTGCTTGACAATGGCACCACGCTCGTTCCGCTTAACCTTGTACACCCACTTCAGGCCAATCGGACGACATCCTAGAGGTGGATCGACAAGCTCTCAAGTCTCATTTTTCTTGATCGCCTTCATCTCCTCTAGCATCGCCCGTCGCCAGTTGGCGTCGTGCTCGGCCAGCGCGAACGTGGGTGGCTCCTCGGTACTGACAAGAAGCAGCTCTGGGTCGTTGAGCAGCCGACTTGCAAGGCCCAAGGCCTCTATGCCATCGACGATGTCATCCAGCCTGTGAAACCGCACCTCCTCACCGTCGTGGAAGGCATCCACGAACTCGGTGATGTCACTTGGAGGTGAGGCGAACTCGATCGGTGTCGATGGAGTCCCCTGTTCTGTCGGAGTGGTCGGCACGACACCTGGAGTGCTCGGCACCTCGGCTGCAGTGCTCGGCACTACTCTTGGACCACTTGTCATCACTCCTAGAGTGGTCGGCACCACTGCAGGAGTGCTCGGCACCAGCCTTGGAGTGGTCGGAACCACTGCAAGACTGCTCGGCTCCGCCATGGGAGCGCTCGGCACCCGTCCTGGAGTGGTCGGCACCACCGCAGGACTGCTCGGCTCCACTCTTGGAGTGCTCTGCACCCTCCTGGAGTGGTCGGCACTGCCCCAGGAGTGCTCGGCTCTACTGTTGGAGTGGTTGGCACCACCTCTCCAACGTCTCTACCACCGTGGATGACCAAGTGCTCGACGACGAAGGTGCTGGTGAAGCCGCCAGCTTCCCCTGTGCCCGGGCTGTCCTAGTCCCAAGCTGCCTTCTCGTTGAACATGACATCACGCGAGACAACAACCTTGCCTCCGCGTGGGTCGAGAGCCTGTATGCCTTGGTACCCTCCTCGAGCCAGAGCACCATCGGTGTGCTCCTATCCTCTAGCTTGGTAAGGACCGGCTTTGTCTTCCTGACGTGGCTGATGCAACCGAATGTCCTGAGGAAGGATACGCTTGGCTTGCGCCCATACCAAGCTTCAAACGGCGCCATGCCCTCTAGGGCCTTCGTGAGGCACGTGGTTTAGGATGAACACCGCCGTAGTCACTGCCTCACCCTAGAACCTTCCCAGCATGCTCTTGGCCTTCAACATGGATCGAGCCATACCGACCACCGTGCTGGTTCCACCGCTCCACTACACCATTCTCGCTATGGCGAGTATGGTGCGGTGTGGTGTCACACCACACCCGATACGCATAGTACGCAGATGAACTCCACCAAATTGAATCTATCCTTAGCACGCGCGCAGCTTCTTCCCAGACTCGCCTCCGCCCGCACCTAGAACTTCTTGATCACCTCCGCCCGCCTCGTCCTTGCTCGTCAGAGTTGTAGCCACATGTAGTGACTGCAATCATCCACGAGTAGGATGAAGTACCACCGACCACCATTTATGGCTAGTGTGATCGGCTCGCAGAGATCGCCATGGATGAGCTCGAGAGCATCCTCCACGCGATACTTGGCCGCCTTTGGGAACGACAACCTCCTCTACTTCCTGGCTAGGCACCTGTTACACAGCTCGCCTGCGTGTTTGATGTGGGGCAGCCCTTGGACCATCTTCTCCAGCCGACCGAGCGCGTCGAAGCTGAGATGTCCGAACCGTGCATGCCATAGCCAAGGCTCCTCGATGTGCCGTGCCGCCAGGCACACCGGCTGCCCCCCCTTCAAGTCGAGCAGGTACAATCGATTGCGTGAGCGTTTTACCTTCACGAGAATATACCGCTACCGATCCCGAATCTTTAGGATCCCACTCTCGATCAGTACCTCACACCCACGCTCATTCAGCTGCCCGATGCTGATGATGCTTGAACGCAGCTGTAGGATGTAGTACACATCCGTCAGCGAGCGGTGCTCACTGTTCCGATAGTGAAAGATGACGGTGCCACGACCTCAAATCTCCACCTTCGAGCCGTCGCCAAACTGCACCGACCCCGTCACGCCGCCGTCAAGCTCAGAGAAAAACGCCTTAGAGCCAGTCATGTGGTTGCTGGCGCCGGAGTTCAGGTACCACCTCTGCTCCACTTCGCCGCCCACTCATTTGAGATGGACTTGGGCGCGTGGCTCATCGAGGTCGATGGCCCTCTGCCGAGTAGTCCCCAGTTCGGCGGTCGCCACCTCCTCTGCTTTCACCTTTGCCTTGACGTCATGTAGCACACAGAGCGTTGCCATCAGGAGAGTTGGCTGGTCATCCCCCACCTTCGCCAGGTGAGCTTCAGCCTTCTTCTCCTTCTAGTTTGGGCACTCCTTGGCCCAGTGGCCAGTCTTCCCACAGCGGCGGCAAGTGTCCCTGCCCAGGGGCTTGCCATCCTTCTTCTTCTGTGGGCCTTACCATGGCACTTCCCATTGCCACCGCGGCTGGAGGAGGCTTCCCCGGACTGCTTCTACCTCTGCCGAGCAGTCCACTCCTCCTCGGTCATCAGTAGCTTGCTGCCGACCGGTGTTGTAGTCGCCCCTGTGCGGTCGTCCACCGCCCACAGATGTCCTATCAGATCCTTAATTGAGAGGGTCGACAGGTCCAGCATCATCTCAATGGAGAGAGCGATCTGGGTGTACTTGGGCGGCACGACGCGCATGTGCCAGAGACTTCCTCCTTGTCATCGATGATGATGCCATGCGCTGCCGATTGACTAATGAGGGACTGCGGCCGAGGGCGAAGTCCTCCACCGCCCCCCGCCGTGGAACGCCAGTTCATCGATACTCCCGCCCGTGATTGCCGCGCCTTTGCCTTCTTTGCGTGGTCGGCCCCAACCCGCATGGCCTTGAGGGTGTCCCAAGCTTCCTTGGCGGAGTCTTTCGACCCCAACGGCTCCCGGTACTCCGGAGGCACGACGGCTAGGATTGCCTCTAGCGCCGAGCAGTCCTCCTCTTCATCTTCGGTGCCCTGGTCAATCGCCTTCTAGAGCCGTCGGGCTCTGAGCTTGACCTTCATGGTCACCGACCACTCACCGTAGTTGGTGCGAGTGAGGACTGGCCAGTTGGCTCCGCCTACATCCTGTATGGCCCTCTGAATGACCACCTCGCGACGCACCGGTGACCAAGACTGCCATAGC